TTTTGTTTCTAATGTCTCTGTAAAGCACTTTGAATCACCTTGTTGTTGAATTGTGCTATACAAATAAACTTGCCTTGCCTTGCCTTGCCTATCCTACCTTATATCAGCCGTATAACCCTGTGTATAAACCAGGTCAGTTTATATCAGTAGGATAAGTAATGATATTCAGGACAATAGCTCGGGCGCTTGAGTTTGAACCTTCAGTGTGGGCATTTCAGGTTTTTTCTTAAAGTTATTTTTATTAAGTTAGTTTTATTTTGATGTACCTTCATCCTGCTTACACCTTTTCAGTTCTGTCTTATTATCAGCTTGTCTAACATCAGCAGAGGTAATGAAGAGTTTTAAACTGCACTAACTTGTATGAAATGTGCTATGAAATAAAATGTGATTGCTTGATAATCAAATAAAATATTTATTATTTTTGTACCATATTTAACATATCGATTATATGTTATTGATTTAAAGCTTACATCAGTTTCCAATGTTTCCCTTGCATCTTCAACCACATCATTCAGAGCTTCCAGCTCATTTTCAGCATCATCTGGATCAATGTGGACTGGGATCAGAACCAGATTCTTCACAACTAGAAGCACAAAGAGACGTTATAAACATACGATTTACTGATTTACTTTTGATGAGGTGGCACCAGTGACTTTAGTAAGTTGACTGTATTGGGTGGCACAGACTGAGCCTGAAATATGGTTTGCCCCGGTGCCCCTTGTCTATAATACTGTAAGTCTTACAGTGAAAAATCTGTTGCATTCAAGCATTTTCCTGAAGTACAGCTTTAATATTTTTGCACCTTATTTCTATGCTTTTTACTTTCTTCTTTATTTTGGATTCCAAAATACTGCACACCAAAACAATTGTTACTTTTAATATTTTGAAATATAAATCTACTAATAAATGATATATTAAGATATGCCCAAAAAGATGATTCTGTTCACCTGGTTGTAGCATTTTCCACTGAAAACGTTACAGAAACTTTTAGAGATTTTCTACCTGGATGATTGAGCATCAAGGCATCTATTGGCCACTTTATGATGGTAAACGCTACAAAGTATATGAGTAATTCATATATGTTTGAGAAATTCAAAAAATCCCTGGGCTGGGAGTTTTCTGTGTTTACGTGTCCTCGCTGTGACTGCATGGACCTCTCTTCATGTACGCTGGCTTCCTCACACAGTCCAAAGACATGTATGCTATGTTAACTTGTGAATTTAGAGTGTGAGCATCAGTGGTTGTCTGTAGCCCTGTGATGGGCTGGTGACCTGTCCTGAATGTGCCATGCCTTTTGCCAAAGGGCTAATGAGATGGTACACACGCAACACCTGTGTCGCCAAATTAGATAAGTAGTTAAGAAGATGGATGGATGGTTAATATATGATCCTACATAATGACTTTATTTACTTTGGGCACTTAGAGTAGATTTTTATAGTAAAATTGTTGTACTTCTTCTGTTCTTGGTCATATCTGTGCCACTAATTTAACAATAATGAATAATACACATACATACCTGTATTTGGACATTCAAACATCACAATGAAGGGCTCTCGGGCAAGCACATCTTCGTTTTCTTCTTCATACTGGTAGTAATCTGTCACGTTTATTTCATCATGTCTGAGACACAAAGATAAACAGCTGTATTTTAATCTTTTCTGGGGATGATAGATTGACAATGATTAATTTCCTGGATGCTAAACAGAAACACTGAAATATGAAAAGGACTTACTTATTGCTATGAACAACAATTCCTGTACTTTTGTGTTATTATTTCATATTCATATTTATTTTTAGTTTTAAGATTAAAATTGAAGTTAATTTGTTAGTTTTTTCAAAAACTGGTTCAAAGATTTCAGTTTAACCTTTTAAAAAGTTAAAAGAAAAAATAGTTTTCGGTACAAAATAACATTTATTCCCTTTATCTGTGATACACACACAAACAAATTGTAATGTTTTTAATCAGTAGGTGGTGCTGCAGAAACACAACTGTGAACCTCGTGATGGATACCTGTAGAAGAAGACAAACCGCTCCTTGCGAGAGTTTCGTCCTATTGGTTCACTGCTCAACATCTCAAAGGGATGATATTTGTTTTTTCTGTTGAAAAACGCAACACAGCTCGATTTAACTTTTATTCTTTTTTATGTGACTAAACGTGTCAGCGATTTAAATCCCAGTGAAAATGTGACGCACAGCTGCTGAAACTTTACAGCTGGTCTTCATTCTGTGGTTTCAGTAACAAACGATTTAACAGCTTTCAAGTATCAAACCTATTCCTTGAGCATAGAATCTGTATTGAACGTACATAAAACATGCTGTATATGAAAAAATCAGCAAAAACATGAAGGTTCCAGCCAGTTTTAAACCAGAACTCCTCCCACCCAGTTTAATAACTGGCTAACAGTGGTAGTCACATTGTTCTAAAACAACAACTCGCTAAGCCACAATTGCTCCATCGTAAACCTCTCAGATGTTCTGTGATTGTTACAGGTTATATAATTTGAGATAAATCACCCATATTTATTGAGCTCCGTGAGAAACTTTTTCATCGCATTGCCAGTGGGGTCCTGAACTTCCTGCATCACCACCAAACTGTACCGGGACACAATCTACGAGAAACACATGAACACAGTAAAAAACATGTTTAAAGACTGTAGCATAAAAGAAAATATTAGAAGTAATTTGAAGAAGCTTCAAAGACAATTAAGCAAGCACCACAAATTTAAACAAGCATCAGCTTTCATGAGCCAGCGTGAACAACATCTGGAAAATGAAATAAATTAATGGTCCTATAATCAGCTATGTGTTGTTAGCATTTAGATAATATACTTATTTTTGTGAGATATGAAAAAAGGAACAGGGCACAGACTGTAGTGGTGGATTACTGTGTTTAAAACAAACAAACAAATTTAACCTCATGTTGCATTCAATAGCACAAAACTAATAAACACAATCAAAACTCTAAGTAAGTCAAAAAGGTCACAGTGTGCTCCACGACTATGATTTACCTTGATAAGGTTTTTCAGTATATTGTCATTATTGACTTTTTTCATTCCGAGGTTCTTCACATTAAACGCTGCAATCTTCATGGTCACTGTAAAAACAAAATTAACAACAGAGACTTCAGCAACAATAACACAGTTATTAGCAACTTATTAGCAACTCAGGGATAATGGAGTGTGCTGATGTTCTGCATGTTTGTCTAATACATTACAAATATTGGTAGTTCTACACCCAAAGTATTAGTTTAAACATTTTAAGATAAAAAATATCTATTTAAACCAGAGCACAAGAACTCAGGCGATGATAAAAAGATGCAAAGCAGGGAGGAATTGGTCAAGAGCCTCTGTGAGAGTTGCAGAGCTAAATTTAGTCATTGGAAACAAACAAGGAGCAAATATCTTGATTAAATTTACACATTTATTGTTTGGGACGGTGAATCTAGAGAACAACTTGGCTTTACCGCGTGTAACCATGATCACAACCATACAGAAGTGTACAGAAAATAGGATTATTTAATTTATTATCATATGTGTTTTATTAGCATGGAAAGATTATATCATTTAGCCTTATCTTTAAATAAAATAGAGTGAAAAAGTGCAAGGCAGTAGAAGAAAAAGGTGCAAAGCGTTTTTCTTAGTGTGATTTTATTCATTAATAGCCACAAGAGACATAAAGCAGACAGCAGTGTTGTTGACACGTTACCAAGAAATACTGACACAGGAGGATGCACATGCTATTCATAAACACTGTTCATGAATAGAAATTAACTATTTTTCATTCAGTCTATTTAAATTTGCAGGTGCAGATCCTCAACAGTTCACTCAACAGATGAATAATAAAGTGATCATAGCAGTGAAGATTAGGACTCTGCTTCACTAAAACTGGCACACTGTGCGGTTTTCAGACAGGAAACTCTTTCATTTAAAACTGAAACAAATCTGAACTGTCAAAACCAGTCGCGTTCTTCTAACAGTTCCTGAAATATGTATTTATTAACACCTTTTATTATGATGTATATGTTCTTATTTGACACCTCAAGACCTTTTTATAGTATTATAATATTTTTATTATTATTATTACTATTATTATTATTACTTATTACTTTCTTTTTCTGCTTGGCTGACTTTAGCAGATAAATATCTCCCACCTGCAAAAAACTTCCCCTGACAAAATGCATATAATCTGAAAATCATTTTGGCAGCTTCACAGCAGTCGAGCTGGTTTCCCGCCAATTCTAACTTTGAATTACACAATGCAAATTTTGCAAGTCCAGTCAAATAAACAGCTGCTCAATTGCCTGCAATTATTTCTCAAACTTACCTTTTCTGTAGAAAATGCAGAAAACTAAGAACAGGAATTCACCAATCTGGCTATGATGTCCTTTTGAATTGTCCTTGCTATCAATGGGACTGACTGACTGTTTCTGCAGGCAGAGAGACAGCCCGCGCAGTATGAGCATGCTCATACATGCAGCAGACACTTCCCTGAGAGATGGCACAGACCAAATGCAGAGCTAACAGGGCGAGTAATCAAATCATAAAATCATTGATTACAAGCAACATTTTCACAACTTTATATTTATCTGGTGCCTCCTGTCAGCACAAGTCGAGAGGACGTTCTTTTGTGGAAATGATGTTAAAAAGGGCCTCAGGATAACACATAGATGTCTAAAGGGTCAGTGAGGTATGGCTGTGTGACATGTTTTTATCCATGGCTGTGGTCATGACAATCCATTCATATACCAAATACATAATGTAGTTTCCTCTATCCTCAGAGATATATAAAGCTTCACTTGGTAATAAAAAAATCTTCTTTCCTCCACTGTGACTCAAGCTGTGCCTTTCATCTCTTCCTACACACAAATATTCCCGCTTCTTTCTTGCTTCCCGGTCATTTTAAAATACAGGATGCTTCCTGTTGATGTGCAAAAAAACAAAAAATGTCCTTCCACACCCACACCACTGAGACATCTTGTCTGGATGGTGCGGCTGTTTCACAAACGCTGTGGTAGCAGCTGTTTCCTTCCTGTTATGTTGCCTGTCTGAAAATGCATAATAACAATGGCAACAAAGTATTAACAGAACAAATGAGTCATGCTAGTTGGGTTCTTAATTCTTTGTTGGACAAAATACTAAATATAACCCAACAAAAGGTATAATGCTCACAGCTCCTTTGCGTCAATATCATTAATAAAATGAAAAGATTAAAAAGTGATGTTAAAATGTTCTACAGTAGAACAAAATGTTTACAGCTTTCTTCTAAAGACATTTCTGTACAAATTCATACAGAGAATTTAAAACTTTAGTATAAATACAAACAGACATTTGTTTTTTTCAACTCAGCAACTTGGACTGTTTTACCTCAGAAAGTCAGGATGTCTGCTGTTCAACAAGTTTCTCTTCTAGTTTTGGTAAAATTAGAATACTTTATTAGTTTGTTACTTACAGTGTATGTAGAGCAGTTGTTATCTTAACACCACATGACACTGTCGCTTCTGTCTCAAATAAACAAAACAATACAGAAAGGCAGCAATTAAAACAGCCAATGTGTCCATGGGATAAATGAGAGGGGTGTATTTTTCTCACAGAAGAATATTACATCTATACAGTTAAGTTAAACTTGCGACCGGGGCGTTAAATTTCTGTCTGGTGTCACTTTTGTCTGCAAGGACTGCTTCAAAGATAACATTTATAGTTGCATTTGTAGCCCTGCCACTGTCTGGCACCCTGTCGAGACCTGTCCAGGGTGTAACCTGCTTCTTGCACTGTGACAGCTGGGCCAGGCTCCCTCCCCGGGTGGAAACATTAATGAGGTAACTGGATACATTTGCAAAATTCAATCCAAATCAAAAATACAATAAATAAACAAAATGATTATTTAAAATGTAAAACTATATTATTAAATAAAACCTGTAAAATCACTTAGATAACCATATTTCATCTCATTCATGTCAGGGCTTCGTGTGTGGAGGAGAGGAAGTGATGACTCAAAACAGGCACGACTCGCGGTGAAAGCTGGTGTTTAGTGCAGATGGAGTGAATGAACAGAACAGGAGCAGGAAATGGCTGACGGACGGACAGACGGACGGACTGAATGAGCAAAGCATACAGTGACAACCTAACATCAACAACAATGACACGACAATGAACCGATGAATCTGAGGGACTTCAATACACAGACTGAATGATTAGTGATTAGAGACCGGTGAGTGAATGGTTGAACATAATCTAACTAATGACACATAGAAGTAACAGGAACAGAACAACAGAAAATGAGAACGAGTGACAAAATAAACTGAACCTGAACAAGCTGAAAACACTGGGTTACTGCAGGAACCCTGACAATTCATGCTCCACTTGTCCAGTCATTGCATAAAATTGAACATGAAAGAAAAACAATGCAAGTTGTGCGTGGATGTAAAGGTTTATTTGCCATTGTGTTGGTTGATTGAAACCCAGGGGATCAATTCAATCCTGTTTTTTTCTATGAAGTTCCTCCAAAAACACAGTTGTTAATTTTACTAAAAGGCAGAGTGCCTCATTTACTCTTCTTTGACATAAAATTGCACATAATATGAAAAAAAGACAGCAAAAACTATTTTAACATGAACCGTTATATAACTACACATATAAGAAAAACACATGGTTCCTGATTAAAACTGGGGGTGAAATTTGTTTGCTATCTCACTTCAAGGCAGGTTCTCAATGTAAAAATAAAGCTTTTTTCTATAATTCTTCATACGTTAATTGTCCCGAAGCTCCACCTCCACGGGGTAGTGGTCACTGACGGATCGAGTCTACAAGTAGAAAAACATGGCAAACAGCGGTGAAGTGAGATGTTTGCACGTAAACATTGCCATGTTAAATTAAATGTTTTTAATATTAAAAGTCTTACTGTGTCGTAATTTAGGCGGTACGCTCTTTTGAAGTCGAAAGGCTTTGCAGAGCCAGGAACAACTGCGTCATTCATCCTCTTTCCAAACACAACAATCCTGTTGGCAGGAAATAGAGTCACAATCATGCATTCATTTGACTTTGCCTGTTGTTTAACATGCAGATGACAATTTGCCATCAAGAAGCATTTCACTTTCTTTGTTTTAAGACTGTAATGAAACAGAACTAGGGAGGTGTAGGCAGTGAAACCATTGTGAGGCAGGAGGGGCGGTGATTGTTTTTTCAGCATAGAAACAGATCTTACCCACCCGGATTTCCTAATCTTAAAATAGGAAAGTATTTATATTTATAAATAATAACTATTTAGATATTCAAATATTTTCTAAGCTAAAAATAAAATCGTGTGACTCTGAGCAAGACAACAACAACATAAAGAAAAGTAGTAAATATGAAGATACCTGTCATATGTATGGTCATTAAGGTCACTAGTAGTGGTGTCAGCGTCTTCATCTATCAACCAAAAGTAGGGACGAGAGCTCATTCTGATGTTTGTCCTTTTAGTACTTGACAGGTAACGTCCATCCGCATTGAAGTCCCCCAAAATCATGATGCTCTGAAAGACAATATATATGAAAATACAAAGGTAAATATTTTATAACAATATCATTTAATATAATTTTGTTCTCCAGTCTTTAGGTTTGAGCACATTTCAGATTTTTCATTTTAGTTACGCTCATATGTCAAACATAATAACGGCACAGGTTTGGTTTTCAAAGAACAAATTAATTTAAATAACTTGAGAAGCAAATTATTTTGACTTCTTGTCAACAATAACTTTATCTTAACAAATAAAAATAGTTTACTGTTATAAAATTGTGCTTTTATAAAACTAATTTGTCCACAGCCTGCTGTTGTGAAGTGCTTGAAGAGTCTAGAATGACAATCAGACCAATGATTGTAACTATCAATCATTTCATGACCTTTTCTGCTCTAATCAACATATTATTGTTATTATTGTTATTTAGCATCATAAACAAATCCATTCTGTAAATTCGTCACTCTTTCATTTCCAGCCTACATTAGTGCCCCATCTCCTTCTTGCATCTTGGACCACATTATGAAGAGCACGCAGCTCATGTTCAGCATCCTTTGGTTTGGTGTGGACGGGAATCAGAACAAGCTTCTTCACAACTGGAAGCACAAACATAACCAGTTAGTTACAGGTGAACATGCACAGTAGTACTTGTTTATTTGTATACTTGTATGGACATTCATGGACAATTGATCCTGTATCCTGGAAGAAGGAGCAGCGTTACCAGTTTCAAACTGGTCCTTGTGAATGTAGAGGACAAAAGCTCACACTCATACATACGTCTGGCTGAACGGCGGCGAAACTGCACAATAAAGGGCTCTCTGGCAAGCACATCTTTGTTTTCTTCTTCATATTGGTAACGGTCAATCACACTCATTTCCTCCTGTCTGAGACAGAAAATACACACACATCTGTTTCCCTCATGCTAACATATAGCCAAGGTCTCAGCCCAAACTGAGATGACTTATATCGTGAGAAGTTGCTTATTGTTGTGAATCTTGTGCTGTCTGAGGAAGTCTGAGGCCAGGAATAGGGTGGAGTCCCGACTCCAGGTTTTTGACTCTTAGTGTGTCGGGGTGTTGGTGTATCATGTCTCTCTGCTGGCTGGGGAACGCCTCCGTGTCCTCCCAGAACAGCTGGAGTAGGTGAAGGAGAGGAGGTTGTTTTTCTAAAAGCCATGTTCACCTATTCTCTTAAACATTCATAGAGTGCTTTTATTTCTTTTAAAGGAAAAAATATCTAATGCAATAAATGTTGAAGAGTCTCCCCTTAGACCAGAGGTGGGCAATTCCAGGCCCTGAGGGCCGGTGTCCTGCAGGTTTTAGATCTCACCTTGGGTCAACACATCTGAATCACATGATTAGTTCGTTACCAGGCCTCTGGAGAACTTCAGGACACGTTGAGGAGCTAATTTAGCCATTTAAATCAGCTGTGTTGGTTCAAGGACACATCTAAAACCTGCAGGGACACCGGCCCTCGAGACCTGGAGTTGCCCACCTCTGCCTTAGACTGTTGCTCCTGCATTCTGGACCTGGATAAGTAGCATAAAATGGACGGTGGAAGAATAAAAGTTAATATTTTGGTTTGAAGAATATCTGAAATCATTTCTGTGGATTATCTTAAACTTTTTAAAAATGTTTTATTTTCCTTAAAATCTTCTCCTAAATGCAATGATCTGTCTTGACAGATTTGAGCTTTTAATTCCGGACATGTGAGACATCTATGAAACATATGAATGTCAGATGATTGTACCTGTAGAAGAAGACAAACTGCTCCCTGTAGGAATGTCGTCCTACTGGGGCACCGATCTCCATCCTGTATGGACGAGATCTGTTCCCCCTGTTCAAAAACAGACATAACTGTAGTTCAGTTTTATTTTTGGGAGGTTTTGTACATATTGTGTGTTCGGCATTACAGCAGGAATACTGTTGTTGTCAGTTAGTTCCAGAGGTCAGCAGGTGTAAATGCCTGTTAATGTGGTTTGTGAGGACTTTCCTGTGTCTGTTGAGCTCTGTGAGAAATTTGCTCATTGCCCTGTCATTGGGATCCCGGACCTCCAGTAACACCACCACACTGTACCGAGACACAATCTAAGAGAAACACACAAACCCACTTAGTAAAAATACATTTAAGAAATAAAAGTCTAGTGCAACAGTTCAGCAACCACTGGGAATCCAACACATCAACTTTTACAAGCCAGTGTGAACAAACTTAAATAACTCTGTATACTGCAAAAATGGCCTGACGTCACAAACTTAAAAGTCAGCAACTCTTATTGTGGCAATACGTTCTATAACTAAATGTTTGAATATGTTGATGACACAAACACACCTCAACAATAAAACAGCATCATAATTTAATCAAATTAAGTTGTAAATGTCTCATGACTTACCTTGATTAGATTATTTCGTACAATATCTTTGTTGAGTTTTCTCACTCCAAGATTCTTGACATTGAAGGCTGCGATCTTCATTCTGACTGTAAAACCAAACTTTTGAGAATATCACAGCATTTACATAATTTCAGAGGCTTTAACATCAATGAGAATGCTAACCATACTTGGACACAGTGCTTTGTGTCTAAGCTCACACTTGCCCAGAGCGACCTGTGAAAGGCGTCAGCCCTGACGTTAACCCTAACTCGGGTAAGCTACTAAGAAGGTGATGGTGGTGGATGTATTAGACCTGTCCTTTCACTTTTTAGTTTGGTTTGGGCACCTGGCTGCCAAATTGATAATTGTTTGACTTAAAATAAACCATTTTACAATGTTAACTAGAAGTCAAACTTCAAAAGTAAAATTCAAATTCAAAGAAAGAAAAATGAAAAGAACTAAATATAAGAGGCTGAGAGAAAATGTCTGGCTGGTTTCCCGCCAATTCTGACCTGGCATCACACAATCAAAAGTCCAGTAAAATGAAAAGAAGCTCAATCACCACTTTGAATACTGAAGCAATTTTTTAAAGAAAGAAACAGAAAAGAAAGAAAAGAACTCACCAATTAGGTTAAGATCAATAACCACAAATGTCTGAAGACAGAGAGCTGAAAGAGGTCCTTCACTGTCAGTGGAGAAAGGACGACTGACTGAGAGTCTAAGCAGGAAAGGAAACGGCCGTGCTAAACCACACAGCCAATAAAACTGGCTCACAGACACAGTGAGAGAAAAGCTGGCACGGATCATTTAGCATTTGAAAAACTGGATATTTCCCTTTGGAGCGGTGGAGTCCAAAACTGAGCTAAAAGAGAAGTAAAAATCTTTAAATGGAAACAAAGAAATACACATTTCTTTGACTGGATGTGTAATTTTATGTGATAGAATAATACACATAGGCAAAGTGCACACATAACCCTGGGAGCCCTTTATGTATGTAATATACATGTATGCTTTATGTACATTACATAATTGTATACATGTACTTATGTGAACAATTATAACATAAAGTGTAAAGGTATCTTTAAAAAGTTTGTAAATGATTGAATCATGTTAAAATAATAAGAAATATTAATCAGATGTTAAATGTGTTCTGTGAATGTTTATGACACACCAGAGATAAATCTCATGTCAACAGTCGACATTTTCCTAAGAATATTTGATGCTTTCAACATCTGCCAAAGAGAATATGCTCTTTGTGTAAAAGTTCAGGATGTTTGAAATGAACTGAGGATTTCACTGAGACACCTGAAGTCAGTGAAATGGAAGCGTCTGATAGTTTGACTATAGTTGACAAGCAATACTGGCATCTGGTGGCGCTGTCACTTGGTGTTCGCTCGCTCTGCGGTAGAGTATCACTTCCTGTTCCTGCTCAAACACAGTGGTGTTTCTGAGTAGCTTATTTGCTTAGCAATTTAATTAACAACTTTTAAATACATTCTTCTTTCATAGTATAATCTTCACGTGCTTCATCCGAAGTACACTTTCTG